ATCAGGGGTCCACAAACTTTTCAAACAGAGGGCCAGGTCACAGTCCCTCAAACTGTTGGAGGGCCGGAGTATAACTTGAAAAAAATGAATTTCATTTTATTTGTACTGCAAAAATCACTTAAAAACAATACAATAATTAAAATGAAGAGCAATTTTACCAAATACAAACTTATTAGTATTTTAATGGGAAGTCTGGACCTGCTTTTGACTGATGAGATAGAATTGTTGTTGTTGTTGTGTGCTTTCAAGTTGTTTCAGACTTAGGTTGACCATGAGCGAGGGCTGGGTAAATGACCTTGGAGGGCCGCATCTGGCCCCCGGGCCTTAGTTTGAGGACCCCTGCTTTAAATCATCAGACAGATTGGATGTGACAGCATGAGTGGTGCCACTTATGTATAGAACTGTTAGTTGCAAGATTTAAACTGCTGTATTATGCTTAATCCTGCCCCTTTTACCATGTTTATGTACAGTTGTATGGATTGGTTGCTTGTAGCTGTCAATCAGTACTGTTTGGCTCCACCTCTTCCTGGAGGGGAGGAGTGGTCTCCTTCTTCATTCTGCCATCAGAGTTTGTACCAGATGGACGTGAGTAAGAGACCTGAGTCTAAAGGACCCTGATTTAAGTTACCTCTTAGCACCAGTTCTGAGGTTTTTTTACCCCTGGGATTCATGCTTTATGTCCAGATCATCCTGGACAATTATTGAGGAGACCCAGGCGCCTTCAAGCCGGTTCTTTTGGCACCAGAGGAAGATTCTGAATCTTCAAGACATAGGCCATCTGAACTGGGGTTGTGGTTTGCTCCGGCATTCACAGCCATTGAGGAAAGAGGAAACTTGGTGAGGCTTCTCAGCTTCAAACCCCTTGGACCCAGGACTAATAGAGACTGTAACATATGTTTTCTTTCACCCCTCTAAAGTTTTCCAGTTCATTACTTTGAAGAAATGACTTTGTGATAAATAAAAGTTATTTTGAGCAATTTACATCGTTTTGGGAGTTCCAGTTTCCTATAGGAGGGCAAGAAGCAATCCCTTGGGGGAAAGGTGCCACGTCCATCCCTCCTTCATTAAGACTAATAGCCCCCAAGTGCGACGGCACATTGGACTATTATGTTTATCTACATGAATATGGACATTTATCCATGACAAAGAGAAGTTGTTCCTCTATGTTGTGTATATAAGTAATAAACCTGTCATATGACATCATATTTGAAGTTTCAACAACAAAGACATAATACTTGGTGTAACTTTGCACCAGATGCCATTATATTTGGTCTCTATGAAGGTCATCAAGGTCTTCTCCCCTTCAGTGTCATTGACTGCACAGGTCTAGGGTTGTATTCATAGGATTGCTCGGCTCCTCCTAGCCTAATTTAGATAGTTAAATGTTTTCCCCTAACATTGAGTCCAGTCATGTTCCACTCTGAGGGTTGGTGCTCATCTCCATTTCTAAGCGGTAAACACCTCCAACGTCAGGTGGCCAGCATGACTGCATGGAGCGCTGTTACCTTCCCACAGGAGTGGTACCTATTGATCTGCTCACATTTGCATGTTTTTGAATTGCTAGGGTGGCAGAAGCTGGGGCTAACAGCAGGAGCTCACCCTGCTCCCTGGATTCAAACCTGTGACCTTTCAGTCAACAAGTTCAGCAGCTCAACTGTTTAACCCACTGTGTCACCGGAGGTCACTCAACTGTTTTGTGGGCCATGTTCCATTCCACTGATAAAAGTGACATTGGGTAGTGGCTTAGCCTTCTCAATATAGATCTATGTTGTGCCATCCTAACTTTCTTGTTCTTGTTTTGACACACAAAGGAGAATCATGGCCACATCTGGAGGGAGAGAAAAAAAAAGATCGATGTGTTTTGCTTTCAATAAAATTACTCATGACATCTGCTATGAAGGACTGATTCTTTCCCTATGGAATATTTTAAAACACTATCATTACTTCACCTAACTTGGGTAGCGAAAGGATTTCCAGAAGACAATAGAAAGCAGTCAATAATCAGTCCTGCAAGTGGTTATAAATAAGGCCCTGATCCAGTGAAAATGAGGAATAGGGACAAGAGGGAGGCAAGACTCTGTCTGTTGCATTTCTAATATTTTCCAATCTTCTGTCTGACAGACCAAAGTGAAATTGCAAAATTGCAATTTCAGCCAGCCTTCAAGGTGGGCAATTCTCTCCCTTTGGATGCATGATTAATGCATTTTTATCAAGAGGGGCTTCCGCAGAGGCAGACACAGTGCAAGGTACTCACTTTTGGCTTGGGCAGTTACCATGGATGCCGACTGAAGAGGCTGCACTTTGAGCGAGAAGCTTTTTTGCCAGGATGCTGTGGTTACTGATGATCTCCTTTCTGTTACTTCTCACGATTTGCCAAGGAAGTGTTCTGAAATGCCCTGCAAGTGACACCTTCCCTCTTCCACAAGATTGGTACCAGCCAGGTGATCTCCTTATTGGTGCAATGTCTTCTCAGCTTCTTTATGTGTTCTATGAACCCCTTTTCAAAGAAAATCCTTCACAAAATCTGTTTGAAACTCCAGAGTAAGAACGCATCATTTATTCTCTTTCTCTCTCATTCTCTTGCTTCAACTGTTCAGTTGTGAATGTTGAGGTTGCTCTAATAAAGACATCACCTTTTCCTTTATGTTTAGGGTCTTACATACGCCGCTAATGCTACCTGTTCTTGAATCAATATAAACTTTGCTCTATCAATAGAGTTGCTTCGGATTGTTGTATGTTTTTCTGGCTATATGGCCATGTTCTGGAAGCATTCTCTCCTGACGTTTCACCTGCATCTATGGCAGACATCCTCAGAGGTTGTGAGGATGCCTGGCATAGATGCAGGCAAAATGTCAGGAGAGAATGCTTCTAGACCATGGCCATACAGCCAGAAAAACCTACAACAACCCAGTGATTCCAGCCATGAAAGCCTTCGACAATAGAGTTGCTTCGATCTGAATAATGTAAAATGGAGATGGGAAAAGAGGCTGTATTTTATTTATGTGCCATTTCTACTGGAAACCTAATTTGGACAAACTTTTGCCAGACAACAATTGGAAGAAATCTGTGAGGGAGAATTACTTGAAACAATTCTTTCCAATGTATTGTCGAAGGCTTTCATGGCCAGAATCACTGGGTTGTTGTGAGTTTTCTGGGCTGTATGGCCATGTCCCAGAAGCATTTTCTCCTGATGATTCACCTGCGTCCATGGCAGGAATCCTCAGAGTTTGTGAGGTCTGTTGGAAACTAGGAAAATTATGTGCTAAGACATTATGTGCTAAGACAGCTACTCATCTTCAGGTCCAAACAGCTTGGACATGTTGCATTGTGAAAGGCAGGATTTCCAAGAAGGTGTCTAAAATCAGTGTTGATTCCACAGATATACAGTTTTTGTGGATCATGTTTAGCAGTGTGTTATTGTTTCTGGATAACTATCAGGGAACAGCACTATCAAGGTGGAAAATATTACTGCATTTTGTGCTAGTTATAATGTACAATGATGTGATGTGCAGATAATATCTTCTACATAAGTCAAGATGGATCCAACTCTGTCAATTTAAATAGAGCTTTTGGGCAGTGGATCACTCAAACTGAAAATGTTTAAAACCAAGGATTAGAGGGAGATACAACCAAGCAATTGAAAGCAATGCAAGGTTTTGTCACTGCTTTACCAGTGCAGCAAGGAAGAAGGAGAACTGAGCACTTTTCATTTTAGTTTTCCACTTATTTTCACATATTCCTTTAATCTTATTCCCCTCCCACAGCAAAAATCCCAAAGCAAAAACAGAATAGCATTCAAATAAACTTCACGACTGCCTTGAAGCCCAAGAAATATGCATTTCCAAGAGCCACAATCCATGTGTCAGAATACTAAAACTTTTGTTGTTCTGCTACAACCATAAATTAAATGGAAGAAAAGATTGAATGGCTCAGAAGCACAAGCAATCATATCTTATTCATTTTGTAAGTCAAACATTAATAGTCTTATGATTGGATGATTTTCTAACTTTTAGAATTTTCTTTTTACCTTCCAGCATGTCAACAAAATTTTACCAGCATGCCCTTGCCTTGGCCTTTGCTGTTCATGAGATCAACCAAGATCCACAGATCTTGCCTAATCTTACTCTGGGGTTTCATATCTGTGATAGCTATTTTGATGCAACAATGACCTATCGGAGCACTCTGGATCTGCTCTTCAAATCCCATAAATTCTCTCCCAATTATAAGTGTGATAAACAGAGGAACCTGGTAGCTGTCATTGGAGGGCTTGGTGCTGCCACCTCTTCTCATCTGGCAAAAATCTTAGGTTTCTACAAGATTCCACAGGTAGGTTCCGATCATGAAATATCTGCTTATTTTTATTCAGTAGGTGAACATTTGTACAAAGAGAAGGGCAAAGATTGCTGGCACCCAGAATATTCCCAGACTTTATTACTGACCACACTTATAACTTTTCCTTCCCAAATAGTTATTGAAATAGATCAGTGGTTCCCAACCTGTGGTCCCTGGATCACTAGTGAACTAAAACATGGTCTACGGCCTCACTGTGACTACACCGTTGCAATGAGAGTAACTGATCTTGCAAAACCCTCTTATACTGCCAAGGCTTATTAAATATGGTTTTTTGTGGGTGAGTACATGATTACTATTAAATGACATATGTTCTGTATCAGAAACTAGAGCTGATGTGGTCTATCCAATGTAATTTTCTGAATCAGCATCCCAAATAACCAAACTAAATCTAAAGTTGACCAAAAACTGATTCATAACCCTTTGGTACTCATGTTGGAGAGTGGTCTCTGTTCAAGTGGTCCCTGGTCAAGTGGTCCCTGGTCAAGTAGTCCCTGGTCAAGAAAAGGTTGGGAACCACTGAAAGAGATGAACATAAAAGCACTTTTATTAACATACCTTTTCTATATATGTGCATTTTATTTTAGCTGATATATGGCTCATTTGACCTTCAGGAGCTTAATACCACTCAGTATTCTTCATTTTATTCCATGGTCCCAAAAGAATCTCATCAGAACACTGGGATTATTCGCTTGCTTCGATATTTTGGATGGAATTGGGTTGGGATCTTTGTTGTTGAAAATAACAGTGGACAGCATTTCTTGCAGAGTCTGGAACCATTGCTTTCTGAGAACGGGATCTGCTCAGCCTTTATACAATGGCTACCCTATATAGCACGTTTGGATAAAATGGAAGAGCATGTAGCTATATGCTACAAGATTTTTATGCACTTAAGAAATGATATAAATGTGTCTGTTGTCTATGGCGAATCTTTGACAATTGCAGCTCTAAGATTCCTCTTAGTTCTGGGAGGTTTTGGAAATGAAAAGTTATTTTTTAAGAATGTGTTCATCATGACTGCTCAGCTAGATTTCATGTTAACCGGCCTCTTAAGGGGTTGGGATCTTCAGGTTTTCCACGGTACCATTGCTTTTGCAATCCACTCAGAGAACATTCCAAATTTCAAAGAATTTATAAAGACAGTAAACTCTCACTGGAACAAAGCAGACAGGTTTATTCAGGTCTTCTGGGAACAAGCATTTGACTGTTACTTTCCAAAGCCTTGGGAGCAAACAGAAGACATAGGGCAGTGTACTGGGAATGAGAAGATTGAGGATATATTTATGCCTCATTTTGAAATGAGCATGACAGGACACAGCTACAGTATCTACAATGCTGTCCACAGTGTGGCTCGTGCTTTGCATGCTATGCGCTCTTCTCAATCCAACTACAAAAGAGGGAAATGCCCATCTCATACAAGCAAGAAATGCAATGAAGTCAAACCGAAAAATCTTCAGGCTTGGCAGGTAACATCATCAGAATTTTTTTTCTTCAACATAGTGCTTCTATCTTGAATTTTGTGAAAAGCCAATGAAATAAAATTATGGATTTTAGTTGCTTGCATTCACCCTGGACCACAAAACTACAATCCTCTTCTGAAATGAAGCATGAAATTGTAATTGTAATTCCTTTTCTTCCCCTTCTCTCTTTCAATTAGCTCCATCCGTTCCTTCAAAGTGTCTCATTTAACAACTCTGCAGGAGAAAGTGTATCCTTTGAGCAGAGAATGCAAGCAAGAGGTATATTTGATATTATCAATTTGGAGACACTGCCAAACAATTCCTTCCAGAGAAGGAAAGTTGGAAAGGTAGATCCGAGTGCTCCTCAAGATGAACAAGTCACCTTTGATGAAAATATGTTGGTGTGGCATCCAGGATTTAAACAGGTAAGGAATATAGAGGACTATTGTGGTGAGTCATTCAAAGTTCCTTTCTTGAGTATCATCATGTTAATTCAGCCAGGAAAAAGCCAGACCCTAGAGGTTGGGACCCCTGGGAGGGGTCGCAAGGGGTCACCAAAGACCATCAGAAAACACATATTTGGCGGCAACTACAATTATCAAAAGACAAAATCAATTCCCCCCCAACACCACCAGAATTCACATTACTGTGTATCAGGTATTTGTGCAAAATTTAGTACAGATCCATAGTCATTTGGGTCCACAGTGCTCTCTGAAGGTAGATGAACTAAATATCCCCTAAATCACTGTCAATTCCTCCCATATCCCTCCAGTATTTTCTGTTGGTCATGGGGGTTCTGTGTGGGGAGTGTGGCCCAATTCTATTGTTGGTGGGGTTCAAGGGGGCTCTTTGATGGTAGGTGCACTATATAGCCCAGCAACTACAACTCCCAAATGTCAAGGTCTATTTTCCCCAAACTCCACCAGTGTTCACATTTGGGCATATTGAGTATTTGTGCCAAGTTTGGTCCAGATCCTAATTTTTGAGTCCACAGTGTTTTCTGGATGTAGGTGAACTACAACTCCAAAACTCAAGGTCAATGTCCACCAAACCCTTCCCATATTTTCTGTTGGTCATGGGAGTTCTGTGTGCCAAGATTGGTTCAATTCCATGATTGGTGGAGTTCAGAATGCTCTTTGATTGTAGGCGAACTATAAATCCCAGCAATTATGGTCCCAATTGACAAAACAATCCCCCCATCAACCCCACCAGTATTCAAATTTGGGTGTATTGGGTATTTGTTCCAAATTTGGTCCAGTGAATGAAAATACATCCTGCATATCACTTTCCACTTTTTACGTTACAATTCATAACAATAGCAAAATTAGTTATGAAGTAGCAATGAAAATAATGTTATGGTTGGGGTCTCCACATTAAGAACTCTTTTAAGGGGTCACAGCATTAGGACGGTTGAGAAACAATGTGTTAACTGAACAGATTCTAAAATTCCAAAACAGACGGAGGATTACATTGCATATTGAAATGTTTCCTAGAATAAAGATCCCAAGGACCATTCTTTCCAACTGCATTCTGCCTTGTAGGAAAATATACAACTAATGCATTCAGAGCAGATGGTCATCAAGCCTTCCTCTTTTTTTTTTAACCTCCATAGAAGGAGAATCCACTGCTCTCCAAAGCAGCATATTCCACTGTTGTATAGATCTTACCATCAGGAACTCCTCCTTAATGTTCATGTGGAATCTGTTTTTCCACTTTTTTTGCCTCTCAATACTGACAAAAATATCATATTCACTTCAAAGGTGCCTTGACAGGATATACAACTCCCTATAGCAGTGAAAGTTCTTCTTTTGGGCTTTAATGAGATGGATTAAAGCTTACTTATTACTCTGGAGTTTCCATGAAAAGCTTTTTGTTGCTGTGTTTTGCTACATGTGCACAACCAAGAAATTGTTGGCTTTGGGGAAAATGAGAGGTACAAGTAGCTGGAGTACCACTCTTTTTTATTGTTTACAGCTACTTGCCGGAGTGTCTGCTTTGGAAAATTACAGATCCCTTAAATTTTTAATGAATACTACAGTTTCCACTCAGAGCACGAAGGAATGAGTTATGTGTGAGAAAGAAAGTGTAGGGTCATCGCCTTCCTCCATTTGCCTTGGCCAGCTCCCATCTCATGCACTGCTGTGGCGGCTGCTGTTCTGACCACTGACATTATGCCCTCTTTGCCATGTGAGGTTGTGGCAGCAATACACCACTTTCCTCTGGCTCCTGAGCAACAGGATGGCCATGGCAGGACTGAGGGCTACCTGTGGTGACCACATCCCAAACTGGCAGCAGTGGCACCAGTTCTGGAGCAGCTCTACAGACAGTCCAACTGCCTTGGAGCTGGAGATGATGCCACTATCATCAGAGTGGGACACATTGCCGGCCTAAGTAAAGGAAGATGAGTAAATCATTTACTCTCAAGTAAACCATTAAAAACAGTGCTGATTCAATGTGATGTCAGAGGCTGGAATCACTGGGTGGCTGTGAGTTTTCTGGGCTGTATGGCCATGTTCCAGAAGCATTCTCTCCTGATGTTTCGCCCACATCTGTGGCAGATCTCCTCAGAGGTTAAGGGGTCTGCTGGAAACTAAATGAGGTTTATATATCTGTGGAATGTCCAGAGTGGGAGAAAGAACTCTTGTCTGCTTGAGGCACTAGTGAATGCTGCAATTTGCCACCTTGATTAGCATTTAATGTCCTTACAGTTTCAAGCTCTGGCTCATTGCTGCCTGGGGGAATCCTTTGTTGGGAGGTGTCAGCTGGCCGATTGATTCTTGCTGGAATTCCCCTGCTTTTTGAGTGTTCTTCTTTATGTACTGTCCTGATTTTAGATTTCTTTTAAATACTGGTAGCCAGATTATGTTCATTTTCATGGTTTTCTTCTTTCTGTTGAAATTGTCCACATGCTTGTGGATTTCAATGGCTCCTATGTGTAGTCTGACATGGTAGTTATTAGAGTGGTCCAGCATTTCTGTGCTCTCAAATAATATGCTGTATCCAGGTTGGTTCATCAGGAGCTCTGCTATGGCTGATTAATTCAAACTGAGAAGTCAGCCATAGCAGAGCACCTGATGAACCAACCTGCCTACTTTCCAACAGACCCACAAACTCTGAAGATGCCTGCCATAGATGTGGGTGAAACATCAGGAGAGAATGCTTCTGGAACATGGCCATTCAGCCCACGTTGATTCCAACCCAGTACTGATTCAAATTTGGAGTTCAGACAGCAATGCAATTTCAGTGCAATATATTGCAGGTAGATGTGGCACTAACAGTAACAAAGTGAATGCAGGACCGAATAATCTGAATTGCAATTGCGTTGCATTAGTGAGGTAGACAAGCCCAAATTCTCAAGATCAGCAGAAAAGAAGCTTGTTCAATCTTCAATATAATATACTTTCAAATATTTAAACATGTCTATTATGTTACCACTTGACTTTTGCTAAACATACCCAATTCCCTAAGTAACACCTCATGTAGCATCATGGTTTTCCAATTGTAGCCCCCTAATGTTCAAGCAAAATAATTCCTTATTTTGTCATGTTTGTATATATTTATGCCTTCAAGTTGCCTGTTGACTTATGACCCTGCAAATTTCATAGGGTTTTCTTAGGCAATGAATACTCCAAGGTGTTTCACCAATTCATTCTCTTGAAATATAGCCTACGGCATCTATGATTTGTTGGCCTTCCAACTAGGTACTACTCAGGGTTGACATTCATGATGTGATCATTGTGTTGAATTCAGATTTTAAAAATGCATGAGTCACTGCTTGGTCATGACTGTTTCTATATTCCAGTTCTTTATGAGAAATTATTGTTTCCATTCGATGTTTGATGTTTTTTCTGTTATAACAGGCTGTGTTTTTTATTTAATTTTAGTTTGTTATAATTTGTGTTTATATGTTGGGCTGTTTAATTTTTGTTAGTATGGATGTATTGTTGCATTCAGGCATTGAATGTTTGCCTTTTATGTTTGGAATCTGCCCTGAGTCTCTTCAGAGAGATAGAGTGGAATATAAATAAAGATGATGATGATGATGATGATTGTATATTACTTTTGAACTCTTTACCTGGAGAGATCAGGAAAGCCCCTTCTCTAGAAACATTCAAAAAGAACCTTAAAACCTGGCTCTTCCGCTGCACCTTTGGTGAGTAGGTGCACACTATGACATTTTGCACCCCTCAACGTTTTTTGCTACTGGAGCTCGCGCCCCCCAAATTGGAAGTTTAGCTTCACAACTCCATGTGTTTTATGAGT